TGTCCCCCTAAATCCCACATGCACACAAACTTTATGCTCTCTGAGCCCTTCACAAATTCAAGCACACCAGATCATTCTGGAGGGCAGCCTCATTTCACCAAATTACAAGAGCTTAGTTTTCCCCATAATGGGAAATACCTGCAAATGAAGTGAAATTTATTAAAATGTTAAAATACGCTGTCAACTTGCAAACAATTATCCACATAAGCTTTTCATAAAGAAATAATGGTTACCCAAAAGGATTCTAAAAGTCAGTAACTGAGGGAGGAAAATAATTCTTAGCATTTGCTTCCTCGCTAATGATATGTGACAACCGGGAAGGATTCTATTTCAAAAACAGTAACAATGATTACAACCTCCCCTGTAAACAAGTCACATTTTTCACAACTTTAAAATGTACTTTAATTATCATAATGTTTAACAATAAAACAACGAAAGTTGCCATCCAGCAGTGGATCCTGACTTTAAGGGTTCCCCAAGGTTAAAGGAAACTCCTCCTTGAGGAGAGCCATAAGCCATGAGAGGTTCCTGGACTCTCTTCAGTATGTGAAACATGTTTAATAGGGGAGCAAAAGTACCATCCAAAAATCAGCTAGGCTGACTTAAACTCTGATCTGTTAAATTCAGGACAATAGTTACTATCTCTTGAGATCTTTAAACTTCTTAGTGTGTTTTGACCTCCTTCTTCAAAACCCTTCCCTGCCTCAGGGAAAGCCCAGTCCCCCCACCCCACCCCCCACCCCCGTTTCCCTTTCAGACAGGACACAGCCTGGACTCAAGGCCTCCCATAGGCCAGACTTCCTTCTCTGCAGCCCTTTGGGGTAGAACTGCTAATCCTTCTTATTAATTAATGAGATAATGGTGGTTAACCGGAAAGCAATATTAATGCTCACTATCTAGGAAATGTCAACCAAAATTATTTTAGCCTTTTGGTTGGTTTTCCTGGTGTGCAGAACTGTGTGCTCTGAGAATCTGGCAACATTTTGATGCAGAATTGAGAAATTCAGGAACGGAGGATTTGTATCAGACCTTAACACATAGGTTTCCTCATAAAGCTTTGCTTATTTTCTTTTTTAACATTTACACTGTTCCACGTTAGTCACTAGAAAGAAAAGTTAAATCCTCTCAACATGTTACTATAAAATTTGGATAGCTGGAAACTGAGGGAACTACAGATTACATAAATAAGCAGTGATGTGACTGAAAGCAAGAGTCAGTCATAATGAATGCATTACACATCACTACATTCAGCTAGTCTTCCACACCCTCAACGCACACCCCGCATCCTACAGCACACTTATGTCCCAGAAAGGTGTCCTGTGCAGGGTTTGCCTGGTTTTTGTTTTGTTTTGTTTTGCTTTGCTTTCATGAATGCAATAACAAAGACAATATGGGGAATAGGTACCACCTGCCCAAGAATCATTGGACATCTTTAACATCATTGGGAAAATGGAGGCCACTTTAGAGCTGTTTTTTCCTCTAATCTATCACAGCCTTAAAAAACAAAAAACAAAAAAACAAAAAACAACAACCTAAAAAATAAAAAGGAAGGGTTTTATATTAGCTAAGGTTTGCTGCAGCAAACAAGCAAGCAGCTTTCATTCAGGGATTGTCAAAAACTTTCCAGTGTGCCCACTGCAATGCGGATGCCAACCAACGAATCAAAGGCATTCAGCAACTAGACAAAGAGGGTCTGATGCCAACCTCGGTGCCACTGGCAACCATTATTGGCATCAAGCACAGTGTCTGCCTTTTTTTTCCCCCTCGCCTGGCACTTCACAAACAAAATGGCGGTTCTTGTAGCAACGGAACAGCCGAAGCGCAGCCCTCTGAATCAATAACGTCAAATGATTTTATGGATTTAAACGCAGTTACTCCCACATGATGTGTATATTTGAGGTAAAGTGGGGGGCTTATATAATTTTATAAATGACTGTATTGAACATGACCTTTTACTAATTGTAGAGAAATAGAAAAATGGACTAAATTGCGGTCAGTCGGGCTATATGCATCGAAGAAGCTGAATAACAAAGAGATTTAGCTTTAAAGAAAATACTGCCTTTGTGGCCATGTGATGCAAAGGTCTAATGAACTATATATCAAAAGTGATTCAAAATGCATAAATTTTTCCCAAAACCATATCAGATGCAGATGTAGTACTAGAGCTTGTGTCAAAGCTCTAGTAACTCTTTCCACATTTCAAAAAAAGATGAGGCTGCTGGGCATGAAGAAAAAAAAAAAAAGTGTGGGTTGAACCAAAAGAGAAAGAGGGAAAAAGAAAAGCATAGGAAGTTGGCCAACAATGGAACTTTATTATATGTTGGTCTTTATTTCCTCCTCCAGAAGAGATGCAGTTTGTGATCTTGTATAAATAACCAAGAGGACTATTGACATTTCTAGATCTGGAAATTGTCAATATATTGTAACATCACTCCACACTGCAATGCGGATGCCAACTAACAAATCACAGGCATCCTGAGCTAAACAAAGAGGGTCTGATGCCAATCCTGGTACCAGTGGCAACCATCTTTGGCATTCTCTCTGTTCTTTCTCATGTTTTCCTCCCAGTCATTTAGAAGTGCGGAGATGGAGAAAAAGGGGGGGAAAGGTAATTTTGTTGCTCATTCTGTTGTAAACATTACAGTTCCCTTTTCTTATTTTTCCTACATGTTTTCCTTCATACTTCTTTGCCTGATTTATAAAACCGACTTAAGTGGGTTTTCATGTACTTAGAGGAGAAATAAAGAGTCATGATGGGAGATAGGCAGCACTTTGATTGACTACAGACTTGTCTTTGTAAATGCCTTCTTCAATCAATTGCACTGCAAAACAACATAATTAACCTACATTTGACCAAAAAAAAAAAAAAAGATATAAATTTTGAAGAAAGGAAAACACAAAAGCATCCTGATGTGACTTTTTCAAAGAAAGAGCCAACAGATGTTAAGAAGAGATGACGCGCTGGCAGGTAGGAGAGGATACAAATTAGATGTACAGGGTAAAATAATGAAAGCTTTTTATGATAGAGATTCAAAAAAAAAACAACAAAATCAATGTTTTATCTGAAAACATGGTCTCCAAGAGTTGCTTAAAACTTCATGATTATCATGACCAATGGTGCAGTGCAGAAGGCATTTATGCATTTTTCTTTCTTCAATCTATCTTCACAAATCCAAAGGATATGTTCTTTATTGTCAGTTCATCAACCAAGAGACTTGGCTGCCTGCCTCCGGAGTGAATGTACATGCATGCACACCTCAAGGACTAGCCTTCAAGCAAGTTAAAATGTGAGTAGCAGTGAAGTGGTTGCAAAACTTCCCTCCCTGCACTAAAAAGTTGCATGGCCCACTTTTTAAAACTTTACTTCCAGCCTTGACTTTCACAACACACTTACAACACATTCACAGTCAATCCAGCACAGATATACAGCCCACCTTAGGATGTCACCTCCTAGACAGCTGTCAATCAAATTAAGTGTCATGTGTTTATGAGCTTCTACTTTAGGACACACAGGGCAAAAATATATTTTTCTCTAAACCATCATTACTTGGACTTCAACTGTTAAATGCATGGTAATGGCAAATGCAATGTCTCGACAACAACAAAATAAGTAATAGTTTCAAATATATCATGTCCAGCATCTTATTTAAAATCAAACTAAAAATTTTTAAATGACATTTAAGCATATCTCTAACACTATATCAAGGAATGATAAAGACAAGCGCGTAACAAGTACCTAGATTTCTGAGTCAAAAGAGTAATTCTGGTATTTTATTTTTTTGGATGATAATAAAGTTCATACCAATTTACTGAATCCCAGATTTATATAACGAATATCAGATAACCCGTCTGCCACCTCAGTATCTGCAGACCATTTCCCTACCACCAGGCCAAGTTAGGAAATGACCCACCATCTGTGGCAGATCAAACTTCAGTCCACTTTTGGTACGCTGCTTTTTAAAATGATGTTGCTAATACATGGAAATCCATATCTTGACACATTTATTTGAAGAAAAGAAATCCTCACTTATTTAAAGGAAAATACAAAATAATAATAAAGAAACATATTTCATGAACTCAAAAAATACTCAGCAAAAATATCCCCTCATTTTTGACCCAACCAGGCAACATTTATACCACTGTCTTTATCAGGTATTTTTTTAATAGGTATGGTATGTGGTTTCTGCATTCTTTTTGAGATTTATTTTAAACCAGTGTAACCAGTCCACTTTCTGTTTTTGTTCTGTAAGGAGAGCTGCAACTTTTCTCCTCAGTAAGTTTTGTGAATTCACATTCAAGTAAACTAATGATATTAAGTATTCCCAAGTCACGCTGGGAAAATATTATACCATAAATTATTTAAACAAGAACTATAATCCATTTAATCTATGGCGAATATTACACAATCAAAAGGAGGTGTTGATAGATATATTCAAATTAAATAAATCTAGGTCCACGTAAGATACACTTTCTGGTATTGGCTATCTTAAGCATTTTGTAATAGGAAACGTTAATTCTATTTTCGGTGCAATAGGACTAGATTCGTGAGCAAAGTTCATCTACCTTGTTAGTTATGAGGCCAATACAAAGATTATTAAAAAGCGGTTTGACTATTCATAAATAAAGTTACATTTTCAAATTGAGAAATGACTAGACACAAGAATGCAGCCGAGGACAAAAAGTGAATTGTAATAAACTATACTTTTCAGACTAGTCTGTGTCTTTGAAAAGGTATATTATTTCAAAAACATTTGAAAACGCATCTCTTTGTGGTCTTTCCCAAAATACCCACGCCTATCCGGGTATGAAAGCTCCATGCCTATGTCCATGGCTGGCCCATGGTAGTGGACATGGGAGTGGAAGAGGGAAGGCCATTCTACCCAGAAGGGGTGAAGGAGATCTAGGGGCCTCGAGGACCATCTAACCCAAGCCAGCTGTTCCGTATATGGGGTTTGTGGGCAGTGTTTGCCGTACTAGAAGAAAGAACAATCTGCTCCTACCTTGCTCCTGCACGTAGTATGCCAAAAACAAATCAAGCTCCTTAACTGATACTGTGATATGATGTGGCTGGACACAAAGTGCTGGGTTTGTGCAATGTGGGGATTTCATGAGCCGCTCTCCATCGGTACTTTCCAAGGGGATGCCTTTGAACAGGATCACCATGACTAGATCCAGACGCCAGACTTTGTCTGCCTGTCGCAGGCAGTCGATTCTCCTAATCTTACCCTTCTGGTCGGGATTGGATAAGACACAGCACGGGTGCTTCTTGCCAGTCACGGTGAGCACAAAGTCCTCTCGATACTCCTGGCGGATGTCTTTGCGCAGTTTGGCCAGGAGCCTGGATGCCCACTTCTGTTTGATTTCAGGCTTTTCGCTGAGAAGCTCATCTTTGACTGCTCTTTCTTCATCCTTTGACATTCGCTTCTCGTGCTTTTTAAAGTACTTGCGTTTCCGAGCCTGCAGGTTGAACCAAGTATAGGCGATTGCACGGACATGTGGAAGGAGTGCCTCGATGAATGGGTGAAATTCATCCTGTGGAAGATGAAGGGAGGGGGGGAGAAAGAAGACAGACACAGTCAGCTTAGTTTTAAAGGCTCAAAAAATAAATAAATAAATAAAACTACAGTCCATTCCCAATTCATTACAAAAAGTTATGCATAAAAATCACATTCTTTTCTTATTTAAAATTATCAAAATAGCAGGAGAAGAACAAAATAAAGTATGCCAAGCAGCCCCTTTTCCACCAAAATTTACAGGTTGATTCTGCCTCCTAAAAAGAAAATAAGATTTATATTTGTATTTCCACTCTGGCCCCATCCCCCTCATTCCCACCATGCATCCTACATTCTTTAAAACATAAATAACCAAGGTGCTTGGCACCTAATTTAATATTTAAATATTTGATTGACCAACTAACACTAAGCAGTACCATTTTACAAAGAACACAGTGAGATTTTTTTTTTTAATCGGAGCAGAGCTGTTCAGAAGGCAGGAGCGATGCCACAGTTCATTTCTCTTCTCTGTGGCACAGAAACACAAAGCATATAGATGCTCAGTGTAATGCCACACAGTTCCCGCTTTTGGAGCATGCTCTCAGCAAGAGGCTGCTGGTGGCACAAAGAGCATGCGCCATTAAACTTGATCCATTTTCTTATCAAACGTCCAACATTCCAACACTGAAACAGCACCATTCCAAGAGTGGTAACTAGAGAAACCGGTATACAGTGAGGGAAAGTGGGCAAAGGACACAGCTTGTCGTATCAGTGTCCTGAACAGAAGGTTTCCATACTTTGAGCAGTGAATTCTCTCCTTCCACCACCAGCACTCGCCTCCAAGACACACGCACGCACGCCATACACACACACACACACACACACACTCACACACTCACTCTCACACTCTCCTATTCTCTCGCAGACACACTCTTTTCGTTTTTCAATAAAAGTTTCCAAAGTTGAAAACAAAAATTATATGAATGTTCTTCCGGCAGCTTTCCTATAGAATCTGAAGCCCCACAGAGTCAGTTAATTTGTTAACCGATCACATGAGTATGGCAATTCTTCTAAACAAAAATCAATCTGAGGTGAACAATGAAAAATGGCAACTTGGCACCAACTTTACATGCTTTGTGTCTCTGCATGCGGTGGCAGGGTGACACCAGGAGTGCACCGCTGGTCACTTACTGCTTTTGTGGAATCAATACAATTCATTTGCTACGCATGTGAATTCTCCGGCTGGAGTGTGGGTGCATGTATGCATGGCTTGTGAGTCTGCACGTGTATCAACTCTACAGTATCCTGTCTCTTGAATGAAGTGGTTTTACCTTAGCTCCTGCATTTTCCCTGCCTGTTCCATATAAGCCTTTCTTTAAGGGAGGGAGGCAGTGAGCAATGGCAGGTCATCTTCACCTACAGATATTTCAAGTTACTTCCCAAAGCAGTTTGTGTTTCATTACTTCCTGCCATAGGTAAAACCTGTCTCATAAGCTTAGGCCTATTACTGCTCAGAGAAAGAGCTAACATCCTGTGCAGGCATACTGTACGCGTGTAATAAACCAAGATCCGAAGCAAATAAGAACTTCCCACCGTGGCCACTTTTCTGCACACACTGAATGCACCGTCAGCCCAACCAGGAAAATAACTTTGTCTAACTTATCCTATCCCAACTTAGAATTGACACACTAGGGCTGGTCACCCTGAATTGTGTGGAATAAATTCTATCTAACCAGCAGTCTGATGAATGCCATGAGGGTAAAGATGAAGAAAGTGCACCTAATGACACTCTAAACAAAGAAGGTGGCCAAAGAAAATGCCCTATGGGTTTGAATCCATTTATAAGATGAATTTCGAGTTTTCGGTGCTAAAGACTACAGCGTGTTTGCGGTATGCATTTCACACACGAAAAAGGTGTATGTCCCATCCAATCAATAACACAGTTATCAAGTGTTTTAACATATTGCTGTAAAACGTTCCTCCGGCAGAATGAGTATAAATCAAAATTTTATAACAATACAGAATGCAGATGATTACATCACAGCATGAGGCATAACCAAATGCCATAGAGGAAATCATTAAACCGATCAGTAGTTTCCAGCAGAGATTTGAACAATTCGGTTACTATGCAAGCACATTAAACTAGGCCATGGAAAGAGTTAAACCACAATCTGTTCTTTGTGTGGGAAGGCAGCCCTGCTCACAGCAACCACAGCCCATGATAAGACCTCCCTATCTCCATATACTTTCTGATGCCATGCTTTCAGCTTCACTGTAACTACAAAAACTTTGTTTATCCCCCTTAGAAATAATGCAAAGGAAGCCCTGTTTAAGGAAGTGTGGACTTAAACATGCTTTGGGAACTCACTTCCTACAATCTGACGTTTACTACGATTTATTGATATGATTAAAAAACATACATACATACTCATCAGCTAAGGAGTTGAGAATGTAAAGAATACATCGGGGTGGGTGGGGAGCTTTGTCTCATTCATTTTACCCTTGCCACGCTTTTAAAAATGCTGTATTATTGCAACAGATATTAAGCGGTGCGGTAACTCTCAAGTGCTTACATCCTTAAGTACTATGTTCAGTGACATTTCATTTTCTTATAAAGACATCAAACATACTTTTGATTAAATTTGTTTGAGTTTCAAATCATCTGTCATGTAATAAATCCCAAAATTTTAATAAATTATTTTAAACAAGCAAAATGCAAATTTGAGAACTGAATTTGGAATGTTAGCAAATGCACACAAAACAATGTGGGTTTTTTTTTCAAGGTTGCCTTGAGTTTGTTGCCAATGCTGCCAAATAATGTTTTAAAATATAGTGTTTTTTTTCTTACTGACAAATAGAAACAGCAAACTTTCTCAGTCCACAAAGTTGCCTTATAAAAATGTTTCAGGGTTTTACTATTCTGTGGATTCCTTTCAAGTGAAACACTTGACAAGGAGACATAACCTCCAAAAAAATGATAAGCAGAGGTTTGTTATAAGTCACATACACTTCTGTATTAACATGCCTAAAATGTCATCTCCCGAGTGTGACTGTTTTCTAACACTGAGTAGCTATACATTTTTAGTAATTTTGAGTGACATGCATATGAAGCATAGTAACTGTCTTCATCCAAAAAAAAGAAGTGATTAAGGTATTCAAATGTCCTAATTAATAGGTTATCACAATAACACTTTAAACCATTATGAAAGTTGGTTTTATTTTTAAGCTAAGCATATAAAGGCTCTACACTAAGGTAATATGCCACCTCACCCTTTTAGAATTTTTATTAAAATTCATTGACATTTCTCTTTTAAAACTTCCTTTAGCTGAACTAAATTCATAAAATAAATAACCAAGTTACAAATATCAAATGTAAAAGTAAACAATCCTAATTCCACCAAGAATATTTATTTTTCTTTACAGAAACAATGGTTTCCATGAAAGGGATGGAAAATTAGAGCAATAAAGAGGTGGAAGAGTAAACACTAGATATTCTTGAGGCACGGGTATATAACAATAAACCATTTAAAATATGTTCCATGAAGAACTTGAAATTTTAATAATTCAGCGCAGTCATGCCAAGTGAAAGTTTTATTAAGGGTTTAAATTATTTTTAGAAAAAGCAAAATATTAAATCATATATGAAGGTTCTTAGTTTTCCTTCTATATCTGATTTGTACTGAAGTATAAATACTGATTTATAAGGATATACTGACACTTTTATATAACATTTTGCTAAATATCAACAATTTTAACTGTAGCTCCTTTTGAATTAAAATTCTTTCTAAAACCTAGATACTTTATTGCAACAGCTGAGACACTTTGTAAAGTTTTCAACCAATTAAGAATGTTTCTCTATTCTGTATTTACACATCCTAAAAAACATTTTGCTGTAGCTAATAGACTCTTACAACACAAAGCTAACCTACTGGTCTGATATAAAAGTAACACTATTAATGTACTCTTACTTTTTGCAACACCTTACATTACCTATAAAGTCACAGAGATACTGAGAATTGGAAAGCTACAATTCCTTCTGAAGTATAGGCCTGAAATCCCCCAAAACAGTTTTAATACGTCAACCTAGATTTACATTATTAAAACAAGAGAGAATGTTAGTCATCATGAATTAGTGTTGGTAAGTATGTGTTCTTGAATACTAATGTGATAGCTGAGATTATGCTGTATATGCTCCTAATATTCCATATGTCACGACGCTGCCATGTTACTTCCAACTTACAGAAATTAAGATAAAGCTAGTGACTTTACAGTGCATATTTAGAGGAAATTAAAAAATGCAGTGTAATCGCTAGCAAGGTTTCTGAGCAGCTGATGCTAGAAATATAAATTAATATAGAAAAGCAATCCTTTGCAGGTGAGAATAAGTGATGCAGTACTTTGTAAGCGAAAAAGCTTACCTCAATTTGTTTTATTTGAACTAGGCTTCAATAATGTAGAGATAATACCAAATGAACATGGTTTACCAGAAAGAAAAAAATATCCTGCTCATAGGTAATATGAAAGGTAACTTTTACAACTAAAGGTAATTCGTTATACCTGAAACAGTGTCATCGTCATATTTATTGTCCATTATTTGTAGCTTTTAAAATACAAATAACTCAGCAACTCATTTTTCCAGTTTTGTTAAATTAAAGTGCACGTTACTTGCTGAAAATAGCCATATCTAAGTTAATCATACTCAGATGCCAAACAAAATATAAACAATAAAAAATGTGTCAGCCAAAAAGCTACAGGACTGTATCCAATCACTGAATAAGCCTTATCATTGTTTTCATCTTCATTCACAATTTATGAATGCCTCGGTCCTTTCCAATCACAATGGCTTCTAATTGTCATACAATTGAAATCTTAATCATTTGTCCATTATAAAAATGTATCATCGTGATATTGGATTTTTAAAAAATTGTAACACAACCAAGACCTGGCGACACTTCTTTAACTGTGTAGTTTTCTATGGCAATGTCCAAGAAAATGGTTATCAATTACCAATGGTGACATTTCCTCCTCAAAGCTGAAGTCAACAGTCCCACACCTTTGGCGGTTTAAAATAATGCTTCAAATAACAACTCTGGGCTAAGATATTTAGTTAGTTCGCCAGTTGGTTAGTTAGCTGGGCAGCGATGAAAACCGCCCCCAGGTAAGTCCGTTCGGTCTCACCACTTTTCCATTTGACCGTCTGGCTTAAAATTATATAAATTGTGTTCTTAAAAATGCATCAAGCCAGTGCTTTATTTCATAACGTTGTTCCTAAAGTCTTAGGACAATTTTCAAAGTGAATTTTTAAAAAAATGACCTTACGTTTCCAGCATTACTTTCTGCCTTCCGAGCTACGCCCAAGTATCAAATGAACAGGTCTCCACAAAATGAACATGTTCTAAAGTCCTTAACTTTCCCCACGACCAACTAACTCGTGTCAACGTAAAGACTGCCTTTGTGGTGTGGTCACTGGAAACCTCAAAGTGCGGATCACGATGCACCAGAGTTTCAGATCCCCAAATTAAGCAAAGGAATGGGTCTCCGGACCACAACCTCCGACTCGCTTCGTCGCCCGCCCACTGCCTGCAGCAGAGTCCAGAGGCGCCCACAAGGACTCGTGCTACAGTCCCCTCGCCCAAGTTCACTGGTTGTTTATAAGGGCTCTGTCCCCCCGTAAAGCTCCTCTAAAGCCCGAGTCGGTCTCAGCGCTCCAGCGACCGACAGGGGCGACGGGCACCCTGGGCAGGGGCGCCGCACAGCAGCAGGCATTCAGGGGGCCGCGCAGGGGCTAGCGCTCCCGGGCCGGGGCCCTGCCCACCCCCGGCGGCCTCGCCCGGCCCAGCCGCCCTGGCAGCGCGCGGGTGCCCGCTCCGCGAGCCCAGGACGCGGGGCCGGGCGCGCGGAGTGGCCTCGGGCGAGCGGCCGCGCGCCGGCTCCCACGCCGCCCCGCAAATCCCGCCGCAAACTCAAGGCCACTTCTGCGAAGGACAGGGATGTACGGAGGTTAACTAAAGCCGTTAATTGTCCGCAGACGAAAGCAACAAAACAAAACAAAGGCATTTCGGACTAGAGAGAAAGCTCGAGAGAGCGACCGAGACATGTACCTGAGTGAGACAGATGGGAGAATACATCATGACTTCGCCTTAAAACGCACTTTCCCGGAGATGCCCAAGAAAATCTTCGAGAAGCAAGAATTTCATCTATTCATTTTACAGTCATCTGAGCCCCGCGATGCGTTCAATCAGGACGGGGCTCTGCGCTGGATCACCGCAACTTCACAACAAACCCAGTCCTCCTTAAATAGCCAAAGATTCAAGTTCACTCGGCGTGCTAGATTTCCCGGGGTGAAATCCAATCTACACTTTTAACCCTCTTGCAGTCCGAGCGCGCTGGCCCTGCTCGCCGAGGCCGCCGCCGCCGCCGCCGGTGTTGGCTGCTTTTCGCCTGGGTTTGGGGATTTATTTTCTGTTTTGCAGTTGTTGGTGGTGGTGGTGGTGGGGGCTAAGGGGTGCGCGAAGGTTCGGCGTGGGTTGGATTGGGGTGGTGGTTGGTGGTGAAATGCTTTTTTAAAAAAGGCGGGGAGGGGGGCGCAGGAGAGAGCGCGGGAGGGAGAGCGAGGAGAATGTGTCACCGCGCTGGGAAAGTTCAAGGTTACAGCCCCGAGCACTGCGGCAGGATTCCGGAGTGGCGATCGCAGGCGAAACTTTGCCGCGAGCCGACCATGTGTGTGCGCGAGGGGGAGCGTGAGCGAGTGCGCGCGGGTGGCGGGGCGCGCGCGGGAGAGGGCCGGGTGGGGGCGGGGTGGGTGGGGGAGAAGGGAGAGGCTGGGGTGAGGGAGGGGGCTCGGGCGCAGGTCTCCCGGGCGGAAAAGGCTGGCGGCACGGCCCCCGGCTGCAGCCGCCGCCGCCCGCGCCGGCTCTTCCACGCCCGGCCGCCCGCCCGGCCGCCCGCCTCGCCCCGCGTCTGACCCGGCCGAGCGAGGAGGCTGCTGCTGCCGCCGCCGCTGCCCAGAGCCCAGGGGGATCGGAACGAGCTCCTGAAAAATCCCAAACGATAAATCCCGCTCTCCCGCTCGGCTCCAAACTCCTCTTTTCTGCTCTGGGCTCTTTTTTCCCCTCCCTCTCTCGCTTTCTTTCGTTGCAAAACTTGGAAGTTGAAATTTTCACCGGTTCCACCCTCTGGACCCCGCTCGAGCTCTCTCCAAATCAGACTTAAGGATTGTTTTATTATTTAATTACACAATCATCGCTTTACTCCTCCTCCTGCAAACGCGCATTCCTTTTGCACCAGCCTCTCCACACCCCCCGCCCCCCACCTTCCTCCTCCTCCTTCTCTCTTTCTCTTCTCTCTCTCTCTCCCTCTCATTTGTTAAAGGTCTCATTTCGGTGCAACAGAACCATGACTTTTTTTTTTTTTTCCAAACTAGATCTCCTTTCCGCCCTTTGGGCAAGTGCCGCACTCTCCCCACACCACCACACACACATACACACACCCGAAAACCCGCCCTAGAAGAGGTATTTCTGTGCTCGCTGCGGACTCTTTAAGCCGCGGGAACATCCGAGTGGGAGAAGCACTGAGCCGGTCTGGGCCCAAGGAAGAAACGAATGGAAAATTCCCTCACACCCAGGCAGCCCCGGGGCCCAGGCTGGGGCGCCGACTCTCGCACCCGGGGCGGGCGCGGTCCGCCAAGCCCGCCGGCTGAAGGGAGGAGGGGCAGGCCGAGGAGGCGGGGGCCTGAGCGAACTTCGGCTCAAGTAGTTGGGGAGCGCCGGCACGGACGGGGGGCGGGGGGCGGGGTCCTCCGGGGTCTCCCCAGCGCGAGCCCGCGCCCCGGGGCAGCTCGGCAGAAGCGGCGCGCCGCGCTTCGCCGCGGTTTGCCGCGCTCCCGGGGGTGCCCCGTGCACGTGGCCTCGCTCGGAGCGGGAGGATCGGGCCGAGCTGCCGCCGCCGCCTCCTGCTCCCTCCTCCTTCTCCTTCTCCTCCTCCTCCTCCCGCGGCTCGCTCCGCTCTCCTCCTCCTGCAGCCCCGCTGGCTCGCTCCCAATCCCCACCCCCCGGGGCCCGGGGCGCCGGCGGAAAGCGGCTCCCTCCCCGCCGGGGTGCAGGCAGGGCGGGGCGGCGGCGCGCCCGAAGCTGCGGGGCGGGCGGGCGCGCGCGCGAGCGGGGTGCGTGTGCCGCTACAGCCCTGCAGAGGCGGCCGCGCCGGCCTCGCTCCCGCGCGGAGGGCCCCACCCCCACCCCGGCGGCTAACCGCGGGGTCCCGAGTGAATGAACTTGATTTCGGGTATTTGGAGGAAGGCGATTTGCCTTGCACCCTTTCTGTACGCGCCCGCGGGCGCGCGCGCGTACACACACACACACACACACACACACACACACACACACTCTCCCCGCCCCCCAAATTCCGGTTTTCGGCAAGGGGTGGGTGGGGAAGAGGTGGAAGCAAAGGCTGTCCAGACAATGGAGAGAGGAAAAGTGAGTGCCAGGGGCTCCGCGTCTACCTAGCTGGGGGCTGCCGGGGGCGGTTGGGGCCGCGAAGGGGACTCGACTGCCCCAGCCCCAGGGCGGGGCCGCCCCTGTTCCCAACTGTGCTGTTGGGGTCTGGCGGGGCTCCCTGATTCTCCTTCCCTCTTCTTCTCTTCCTCTCTTTCGGTTTTCTTCCTCAACTTTCTCCTTTCTCTCGCTCTCTCCCGCTTCTGCCCACGCCGCCCCCCCCGTTGTCCCCCCAGCGGACCTGAAGGAACCAGTGACTTTTTCCTTCACCAAGTGGGAGTTATCCACATCAAGCATTTCACAACGACACATCAAGAAAAGTAGGCAGGTTCAAGTCAACCATGAAATGGTCACTTTTTAACCCCGTCCTGTCCTCATTAGGGAAATGCTCAAACACAGTCCGTTTTCAAAGAGCGCTCTTAATGAGGCGAGCTTGCCAAGTCTACCAGCTGCAGCCCCCGTAAACCCAGAGCCCAAAGAAGAAAGGCGCTGGGGGGGTGGGGAGCTGAGGAGGCCGGAGAGAGGGGGAGCGGCGGATCTGGGAAGACAGGTAAAGTCGGGGAAATTTCGAGAACTCCCTGGAGTTAACCCTTCAGGGCACACAGCACTGAGAGCAGCCTCCCTGCTCCCCCCGGAGGCAAATCCTCCAGTCAGCGTTCTGACAACGTTAATTTCCTTTGTGTGGGTCATTTCTTCTTTTTGAAAAGCCAGGATAAAGTTGACAGTCTTTATAGATGAAAGGAATGAGGTGACAGTCAGGATTAATCCAAATAAATACTCGTTTCTCTCTCAGAAATTTTTAGGCGATCTCAGATTAAAATTAAAACCCCAAAGCATCACTTTGTATGGCACATTATGCTGCCTCCCTCTTCTCTCGTAGCGAAGTCTGAGGGGAGGGGGCGGGGAAGCGTTACTGATAATACCAGCTTTAACTACTGGAGTTTCCCTTTGAACAAATATTCAATTTAACCGGAGTTAATTTACCATAAAAGACATTCCCCTTGGCACGAATGCACTCATGTCCTTGAACACACCTCTTTGAACGCCTGGACTCTTACAGAAGCCATTATTCCGGGGTCTCTTTAAAAATCCGGAGCCCATCTCTCTCTCTTTCTCTCCCTCCCTCCCCCCCTCCCTTCTTCCCTCCCTCCACACCACACCACCCCCAGTGAAATCCTGGCACCCAGAGAGCGCTCCTTTCAGCCAGAGATCCCAGACCCAGCCGCTGTCCCCTGGCAAAAGAGGCCCAGGGCTGAGCCCTGGGCAAGTGTCTGCAGACATCGTACCCCTCCTCCCCTATTAGCTTCCCTTATCAACAGAAACCATTTCCCTCTGCCACCAAAACTAGGTTGCATCCAAAAGTTTCTCACAAGCTTAAAAAAGAGAAGCGAAAAATTGACAACTGTTACACAGAAGAGCCCACAAATCTGCAGCAGCACCAGGGGTGAAGAAGCAGCGTCAGACCCAGGTAAGATCCCAGAGAAGTGAAGATGTGTGGGGCCTCCCAGGCCTATCCCTGAGGGCTTCGCATCTCTCTCAGGTGCTCCGCGGGTTTGTAGAGCGCTGGTGGTTGGGGACAGTCTGATGAGCATGGAGGATGCTTGGCAGTTTTGAGTTTTGATTTGTTTCCAAGAAAAGGGAAATTGAGAAAGGAGTAATGGTGAGATGGGATGAACGAAAAGGGAAGAAAGAATGAGCAACAGAGACATCCTGGAAGGGCTTCCTGGGTGCTCAGTTTATATGGCTTTGCCTGGCCATTCAGGCCTGGGAGCCATGGGCAGGATGGCTGACATTCCCCCCCCCCCAAAAAAAACACTGCTTCTTGTCCAGCCAATGTCAAGGTCACTGCAGGCCTTCCCAGGATGAACTTTAAGGGAGACTTTTGTAAAGAGAGACTGGTAGATTTGAGTGTATCTGAGGACATCTGGCTTCTCTCAGAACACTCATCCATTACCTTTGATTTGAGAAGTACCAATCTTTTGAATCCCAGGTAGAAAAGTAGAAAGAGGAAGTGAGAAAGTACATGCATTTTATTCACTTTCCCTTTTTTCAGCATGTCTGTGCCATGGTATTAAGAGTGGTGTTAAAGTATCCCTGAGAAGTTTCTGATACTATTAAAATGGGCCAAACACTTCTTAGCCTTGGATACTTACCTCTCCCTAAACCCTCTTTCTTCTCTCTCCCCCACACCGAAAGGTAATGACAAGCCAATTGCATTCACCCCAAAATCTGGTTTGAGGAACTAGAAAGAAGTGAAAGCCTCCTGCAGCAACAGGAATATTTGATATTTCAGAATTACTAAAATCTCCTCCCTAGATCACTTACTCCCTGCCACCTTAGAGGGGAAAAAAAGTTTCTTTGCTGACAGATAGTTTGTTGACTTCAAGAAGGAATGCCAGTGCTTCAGGAGACTGGATTTTTCAAAACTCAATCGTATATTTGAAAAATTAAGCAAGTTACCCAACTGGAGCCTTTCACCGACCTCCAGAGAGGACTTGACATCTCAAGTATCTATCAATATTGATTTTCTTTTAACCTTCTCCCTTCTAAAGAAACTCAGTGACAGGTTGCAAATCCTGGGCATTTTAGGGAAAGGTTTCTTGGAGCTTAACAAAGCTGTCATTTTCAATATACCGGATGACTTTTTTTTTAGTTCTTGAATGTGATTTGAGGGGAGGCTCAACAACCACACACCCTCGCCCCATCGCCAATATCAATAATTTAAAACTAAATACAAAAGAGACAGATGACCTCCTGACCCCAGGAAACAGGCCTGCAAAACTGCAAGTATCCACCACACCATGCCCAGGAACCTTTCCTTCTTCCAGATGAACCACAAAAGTCATACATGTGTAGCCCGGAAAACACAATTTCATATCCACAAGCAGGAACACCAAAAATCCACTCAAAAGCACATACATAAACAACCAACAAGTACTGAAATTGCCTGCACTTGATGGGAATTGCAAAATCATGCCCAGCTCTCTCAGCCCTTAAACTACTACTGTCAAATTAGGGTAGCAATTTTTCCCTCCTAGGAAATTCACAACTGGTTAGCTTCCCCCTCCTCCCCACCCCCCCACCCCCCCACTGCCAGTGCTTTGCCTTTCACTGAAACGAATAAATAACCGTGGACTTTTCTTCCCTCCTCTGGGAGCTGTTTGGTGTCCCCTGAGGACAAAACTAAATGAGAAAAATGACGCTGTTAATAATGTTGCTGCTGAAATGCCTGTACTCGACTGTTTAAAAAAAAAAATACTATCCCACTAAGTGTGCTTACATTTCGGG